AACTCTAGATCACTGGTTTCTTTCTGTGTGTCTCAGGATTTAATAAAACTACAATCTACACCACAGTGTCACAACAAGGGGCCCAACATCTTATTCCTGGTCCCAGTTGATTAACACTGCAGTGTTAATCAACTGGGACCAGGAATAAGATGAGATAAGATAAGATAAGATAAGACTTTATTGACCCCACGGAGGCAAAATTTGTGCTGTGTTTCGTTGTTCTTGTAACATTGACAATTAAATCTATTCTATTCAATAGGGGGGTCATGTCAGTAAAACACGAGTATAGATGTATAAAAAGGAGGCAGAGGTTTTATAATACCTTTTAAAAACCATTTCTTTCAAACTAACCTGGTTTTAATTTTCATTTGTTTTAAAGATAGTATTTAACTCTTTGTACTCTTAAACTCTTTAACTCTTTACTCAAGATATGAAAGTAAAGATCTGGAGAAAGAGACAGTAGCCACACTTTGTTAGCAATTACAACAATCAGACATTTAGTTATTGTATTTTTTATTTTATTAAACAGATTTCAGTCATATCACAGTAATCCCTGGATTAACTAGTGGGAAGTGACCAATTATGCTGGAACATATAGCAGGATGTTTTAACAAAACATGACAAAGGCATGCTATGGAAGAGATCCAGAGATGATTAAATTCAGAATAGTGTATAAATGCACTAGTCACACACACCATGCTTCCACATCATGCTAATTATAGAGTTCCACAGGGTTCTGTGCTAAGACCAATTCTGCTTACATTATACATGCTTTCCTCCAGCCTATGTTATCTGCTTTAAGGTACACATTTGAGAGTTATGCCAGGGATTCAAGTCCTTCTGATCTGAGTATTTTTTTTAAGTCATACACAGGGAAGATGTAAAATTAGTAACAAATGTCAAAGAGGGAGGACATACAGGCAGGGATCCAAGTGACCACACTTTATTTACAGTGAAAGTTTAAAGGTCTAATCTCTTCCAGGCTTAAATCCAGAAAATGTCAATTTTCCCCCAGAATCCACACCAGATTTTGCTCATCACTTTGTGTCTGATAATCTTTAGGGATGGGAATCTTGAAACAGTTGTTTCAAGACTGTGTTGAGCTTCTTAAGCTCATATGTTTCAAAACACTGCACGGAAGCATGGTTCAACACACCCAGGTCACATGACCATGACTTAACAAAGTTTTGATGTGTTTCACTTCAGTTTCAAGAGGTGGTCGAGGAGGCAAGACTCACCTCAACCTCGTAGTGTGTGGAGCAGCGGCTCCCCATAGAGAGCATTTTTCACCTGCACAAATGCCGCCTGGCAGTGATCCATCCATGAGACCAGATCTAGGTCAGGCCCACGAACCCAGGCATGAACTGATCATAGTACCCAGGCAGCTCCATGAACCGCCTCACTTCCTTTTTGGTCTTGGGGTGTGTGCAGGATGCAATGGCGGCTTACTTCTCCATCTGTAGACACACCTGCCCTCCCTCCAAGTGGAATCCCAGATACCGTACCTCCCTCTATCCAACTGCACACTTCTTTAGTTTGGCCTTGAGGTCTGCCTGCCTGCTTTAGGGACTCCAGAACCACGGCCACCCGCTGCACATGGTCTGCCGAGGTGTTACTGTGGAGGATCACATCATCGAGGTAGGTCTCAGCATATGCAGCATGCAGCCACAGCACCCGGTCCATGAGGCTCTGGAAGGTAACTGAAATGAGCCAAATTGGTACAAACCGTCAGGGTAGAGAAGTGTCTCCTCCCCAGAGTCAGTGTCCCAAACAGCTGTTCTGCTGCTGTCATTTGGCTGCATGTGATGATCCAGAACTTCTGCCGATGATTTTGGACAGAGAGGCCCAATCTATCCAAAATGGCCCTGCTGATGTCATCGAAGCTCTGCTGTGGGGCTGCCGGCAGGCTCAGAACCTCGGACTGCGCCTCTCCCAACAGCAGCGGTAATAGCTGCAGGCCACTGATATGCCTCTGTGTTGGACTAAAATAGGGGTCAGCAACCTTTAAGATCCAAAGAGCCATTTGGACCCTGTTTTCACTGAAAAGAAAACACTTTTTGACATCTAAAATGAAGATAACACTGCATACATTGTTTTTTACCTTTATGCTTTGTATAAACCACTATAGTGTGTTGTTTATGAAATCCACGAAATGCTACAAAGTAAATGAAATTTTATTTATGTAATGAACACATTTTAAACTCTTAAAAAATTTATAACAAAAAATCAATTTAAATCAATTAAAAAGCTGAACTTAAATTATCCATGTAGCAAACAAAAACTGATCCTTATATCGCATTTGGGCTTTCGGAGCCTTAACCTGAATTCTAAAAATAATTGGAAAAAACACTACGCTCCTAAAAAATGAATAATAAATATTCACAAAATCTCTGCATGAATATTAATTTTACCTGGTTACCTGGTACCTGTATGGCGGGGCGTGGCCTGCAGTGCTGCTGCAGGAGAGGTGGTCGCGCCTGAGCCACACCGCCTTATAGTCTGTGCTCTCTCTGCTGTTGTGTTATGTGTCGGGCTGTGTGCCAGAAAGCTGAAGCCAGCTGCATGTGTACAGCAAACATCGTCGGGTCTGCCGTGGTTTGTTTACAATGGGACCTCTGCGCCCAGCGTCTGCAGACCGGGGCTGTACGAAGTCACTTTCATCTTTACGCAGGACTGTGAGCTGTCGTCTGTGAGGCGTGAGTGGTTTTTGTTTTTATCATAGTTCATGGTTGGGAATAGCTGCTCAATTATGTATGCGGATCCTAAGATCAACAATCCACAAATTAGGCATACTGGTAGGCCGCTCTCATCAGAAGTAAATGCAAACAAATCTGCCAAGACAACATTAAATCTTCTTCAGATATTTTTCTTATCTTACATTTCTCCATAATTTACCTGCTTGGGGTTGAAAGTCTCAATAAATGCATTGCATTTTGGCGGGTATATACATATATATATACCGGCTTCCGCGAGTTATTTTGATTAAATTTTAATATTATGATGAAAAAAAATTTAAAAAATAATTTTATTTTTATATTTCAAGATCATGATAATCTCTGTAATCATGTGAGCCAATGTGTGGACCGACTGCACAAGCAGCCATGAAAATGAGTCTAACCTCTCCTATTTTCACAGCTCGTCTGACTGTGAGTCCCAGCAGCTCTCAGCTGTTTGAATTAGACTTTGTATCTCTGAGTTGTCAGGACGAGGACAGCTCTGCTGGATGGACTCTGAGAAGAAACATAAGCAATAAAGTGATGATTCAAGTGTGGAAGAACTTGGAAGATGGTCTGGTTCTCCTGTAACATCAGTACATCGTTAACAAGGGACAGTGGAGTTTACTGGTGTGAGTCCAGAGAGGGTCCCATCAGTAACATGGTTAACCTGACAGTCACTGGTAAGCTGAGTGTGTGGAGTTAGTGTTGATGAAGCTGTGTGTAAATGGATGAAATGCTGTAGTTTGTCTCTGTGTTGAGGTGGATCAGTGATCCTGCAGAGTCCTGTCCTCCCTGTGATGGAGGGAGATGACGTCACTCTGCTCTGTAAAACAAAGACCACTCCCTCCAACCTCCCAGCTGCTTTCTATAAAGATGGCTCCCTCATCAGGAAGCAGCCTGATTTTTCCAGAAATTATGTTAAAGCAGCAACAGGGTTTTGATTCAAATTATTTTGAGGTCAAGAGGCCTTGCAGGATTTTAAAGGTTTAATTTGAAAAAAAACAACCCAACTTCCACCCAAGAGCATAAAAACCACAGACTGAGAGGAAGAGGGCGGGCTTTACTTGGTGTCAGTGACAGAAATGAAAAAAAGCTCAAATGAGTGAGAAGGACGATGAAGGAAACATCTGTGCTGTGTCTGCTCTGTAAGTAGAATCTCTGTGTTTGTTTGAATTCTTGTACTTTGACTGTCTGCTCTCCTGATAACTGATGATGGAGGAGAAGACATGAAAAACAAATCAGGCTGAATTCAAGTTCAAACACCACGAGGACCAACTGCAGGTCTGAACTGACTCTTTATCTTTGCTCAAGTCAGGTCTGCATTTGTCTGGTGACCTGTCACATTTATACCCTGATAGGTTTCACCTCGATTTAGCCAAAGTTAATTGTTAAACTTTGGATATTGATATTTTTGTATTTAGTCCGTTCTTCTTCAAACTTTACTGGACCATGTTGCTGGCATCAAGCAGAAAATGAGCAGATATATCAGAGAAAGATGAGTTTGTGTGTTTGTCAGCTGTTTGTGTGGAGTTGTTCTTTATGTTCACCTCAAATCAACCTGAGTGTCATTTCTCTTTAGTTCTGATCTCACTGCTGAGCTGCACAACAAACCAAGGTCAGTAACCTTCTTCTGTCACAGTTTAAACCTGAGAAATGCTCACTGATATGACCTGATTGGGTTCATGTTTCACAATGTAAAGTCTAACAGATCATCAGTTTTTCATTTTAACCCTCACAGCTCGTCTGACTGTGAGTCCCAGCAGCTCTCAGTTCTTTAAAAGAGACGTTGTGTCTCTGAGCTGTGAGGAGGACGACAGCTCTGCTGGATGGACTCTGAGGAGAAACACAAGCAAAGAACAGAGGACTCAGTGTGGAGATGTGTGGGGCAAAGGTGCCGGTTCTTCATGTAACATCAGCTACATATACTCATGGGACAGTGGAGTTTACTGGTGTGAGTCCAGAGAGGGTCCCATCAGTAACATGGTTAACCTGACAGTCACTGGTAAGCTGAGTGTGTGGAGTTAGTGTTGATGAAGCTGTGTGTAAATGGATGAAATGCTGTAGTTTGTCTCTGTGTTGAGGTGGATCAGTGATCCTGCAGAGTCCTGTCCTCCCTGTGATGGAGGGAGATGACGTCACTCTGCTCTGTAAAACAAAGACCACTCCCTCCAACCTCCCAGCTGCTTTCTATAAAGATGGCTCCCTCATCAGGAAGCAGCCTACAGGTCACATGACCATCCAGCATGTTTCCAGGTCTGATGAAGGCCTCTACAAGTGTGACATCAGCGGTCATGGAGAGTCTCCATCCAGCTGGATCACTGTCACAGGTGAGGAGCTTCACACTCATTTCATGTCTTATTTCAGCCACAAGTTTACCTGAATAGATGGGATTCTATCTGCAGGTAGACCTGCGACTACAGCCCCGCCCACATCAGCACCTTCACCTTCTACCTCAAGCCCCCTGCATTTTGACTTTACACTGCTTCGCTACCTGCTGGTGTTCTGTCCATATTTAATCTCCACTCTTCTTGTTGCATCTGTACATCGACAGAGAGCCACAGGTAACACTGACTCATTCACTTATCAATTATTAAACAATCAATAATCAATGAACTGATGACAGATATCTGTCTATAACTACAACTGTTAACATTTTATAGACTGCATCTGTGTTTCTTTTCTGATTTGCTGACTGCAGGGAACAATCCACCCACCAGTGATCATCCGAGCTCTTGAGGTCAACGGATTGGATGAAGAGGATGTCATCAAAGAGCACTGATTGTAAATTTTACCTAATGATTTTTGGTAGTTATGTCTATTAATATTCATATGGGCTCATTGTTTTCTATACTCATATTTGTTGGGTCGGGGTGTTTATAAATATTCCTTATTTTTAATCTTACTGGTTGTCTCAAATAAGTTTTGACCAGAGGGAGAACACATAGCTAAAGAGCATAACGTTGTACTCCTCAGGAGAGAATAATTGGGTACATCTTAAGGTTTTAAAAACAGTTTATAAAAGAGGGTAACTGGTGAACGGTTAAGGGACTTCTAATACACATGTTCTAACTCCGTATTCCTACTTATGTTGATACATGTACTGCTCTATGTAAAATCGGACGCGACACATAGAGTCGGAGAGAGAATGCAAATCAGACTGAGAGTCATATCAGAGCGACTCTCGGGTCCACCACACACTTTACGCGCGGTCTATTGCTGAACCGCCACCAAGCTCGTTATTCTTTCTTGATTTTCGTTCACTTTATTTTTCTGTCTGACTACGGGGTAGATATGGTTCGGTTTCTACTCGGGCTCACCTTCTAAGGAAACTTGGAGGATTGTCTGAATAGAAACTTTTCGCGGTGGGTTCCAGTGCGGTCTTGGACTATTTGTTTGTCTTAGGTTATAGTCATGTTCATTCTTTTTTATGCTGTCTACTCAGGAGTTTAATTAAGTGAGGTTTGCTCTATCTTTATCGCATCATGTTAATTCGACGTGCCACGTCATGCCTATTCATAAAGTGTCGGGGACAGAGTCAAAAAACCTTGGCTGAAATTTGGCAGTGACTTATATGCAGCTTATCCCTGCCCTCTTCTTTCTTGGACAATTCAGTTTTATTGTTTCGGGTTGAATGAATTTTCTTTAACTTCATTATCGGTGTATACTGTGGTATTATGTTACAAACGTCTTCAGGGGTTGTGTAAACTAATGTCAGTTTCCACGCTCACACTCGGTTGATTTTAGGTTCCCTCCCACAGCATAGCCCGTAGATGGGATTCTGGGCTTTCTTTGCGCTCCGGTGTGACTTTGTTTTCTATGTTTCCCAATTAAGGGGAGGGGCTCTCGTAGAGCTATATACACAGTTACTGTCCCTCCACACATACGACTCTGTTCTGCTTCTATGCCCCAGCTTTGTTTACTATTTCCCACCGAGGCTTCTAGACTTCTGATTGGCCAACATTTCTATACGGTTAGGAATATATCGCCACCTGTTGCTTTGGCATGTTCCTAGCAGCATTTTCCTTCATTTCTGCGTTTACGCGTGGACGGGATTATTTTTTAAAACGTCCGTTTTCAAAAATACCCGTGGACGTAGCCTTAATCTTAACATACCTAGAGTTGTAAACAGAAGTTCATATGCACTCTTCATGGGTAATTTTGAGCTTTTAATAATTTCTTTGACTTGTTCATTTTACAGAGTGGAATGATTGAACAAAATACATGTTTAATGACTTGAAAATAGGTGAAAAATTGTCAGCACTCATTGGACTGACCAATACTACGTACAGTCCAAGGACTCAGTGATGACAGTAAAGATCTCAGAAGGAAAATTTTAAATTTAAAGAAGTTAGGAAAATCTCTTGGAGAGAGAGAAATGGAGCCATTCCTAAACAACTCCACATTCCAAGCTCACCTGCTCTGACGCGTTATTTGGATGTGTAATCCCTTTGCCAAGGCCTGGAAAAAGACCCAAACTTTGAGCCTTAGTTGAGAGGAAAAAAGCTAGGCCACAGTCAAGTGAGTTTTTCACCACCAGGGGTGCTGGCCAAGAAAGAAGCGCCTGATCAAACACATTCAAACTGGACAGAAATGTGCAAAAACAGAACAACAAAGCACAGAACTAGTCCTTCATTTGTAATAAAATGGCATGAGTGGTATTCAGCTAGCATTTAAAAAGGTCCAGTTAGAGAAAATTTCTTGAAGTAAAGGACCAAATGATTATAATGTCTAATTAAAGGAGTAAATACTCTTATGGATCTGCTTGGTCTCTACACTGCACTAAACAATAAGAGGAAACAGAGCCATTCTGAATCCTTCAAAATAAAAACGTTAAAGAAGCATAGAGGCTGGTGCAGATACTGGATGAACAACTACTGAGTATTAAGGACACCTTAAGGAAAAAAACAGTATTATTGATCAAATCATTCTGATAATCATTTGATCAGTCAGATACATTTGATTATTTTCAAATTGATGTTTCCTGGGTCATTATTTTAATTTGCTGCGGGATGAGACAACATGGTGATATTTACAGGTGGGTAGAGTTGAAAATTTTCATATATATATTACTGTCCGGAGAGTAATGATTCTAACAAATACATACACTTAATTGATTAATTTTAATTAATTTATTAATGTTTAGGAAATAAAACCATCCCTATCTTTATTGATTCCATCGATTCAGGTCATTTTTAGATCTCGAGATAAACACGTGTATTTCAATGAACAGAAGCCCCGCCCTCGGCGTCTCTTGCCATGGCAGCGTGTCAACAGCGCTCCATGGAGACGGCGAAGCCTGAACCGGGGCTGTTTTTCCGCGTTTCTCCGTGATTTGGACACAGCTACCCGCCTGCGGATGATGGGACGGCCCAGGTACTTCACTCCCTCGGAGGTGGCGGCTCACAACACGGCGGAGGACCTGTGGGTGTCGTTTCTGGGCAAAGTGTACGACCTGAGCCCGCTGATGAGCCAATACAAAGGTGAGCCGCAGCAGGTAGATCACTGCGTCACCAGTTGAAGACAGGGCAGGCTGAAAAGCACAAAGTGCCTCTGTGAGAGGTCAGAGTCAGTGAGACTGATTCCTGTTTTTGACTCTTTAGTTACACAACAGGAAAACGACTTTCCGGAAGTGTCTGTTCCTGCTGCTAATCCACACAGCGAGCAACCAGAAGGAGTTGCACTGTGTGTGTGAGACTTGTATGTCCGACATGAAGACTCGCAGAGTACAAAGACACAAAATGACAACAAAGGGAAAAAAAAATCCCTGTAAACGTTGATCACAGTTTTCCCACTCAGTTCATTGATTTAATCCATAGACTGTATGCAAAAGATGGTGCTTGCTGCATATCTTCTTCTTCTTCTTCTTCTTCTTCTTCTTCTTCTTGTTCTTCTTCTTCTTATTATTATTATTATTATTATTATTATTATGTTTATTTTATGATGATGGAGCTCGTGGATGAAATGACACGAGGACCTCAAGTCATTTTACTGAAAGAGGCTGCCCTCTGGTGGTCATTTCAGGCATTTCTGCACTGAAGTGTCAAAGACCGATTTAAAAAAAAAAGTGTTTTTGCTTGTAATATCTTAAAGACACAACTAATGATTGACTGTAACATCTAAAGATGAACTAGATCAGCTACTGTTAAAATTATGTGTATAAATAAATAAATTAGATTAGCTGAAAAAGCCGAAGGTGGGTAAATGACCCAAATAGTTTGAAAGAGAATATTTAAACCACTTGGATGAATTAACTTTGTGTGGAAGTTAATCTTAATATTTCAAGGCATCCTGTTTCCTCTAATAACTGATCGGACAGTTTTACTCTGAAAAAATTACACTTTTAAGCATTTTGATGCATTCTTATAACTAAAGGTGGAATTTTAGTTTGAAATTCAGAGATTTCATAGCATCCTGTTACTATCCCCTATCTAATACACTTTTATTTTGAAAATGATGAATTCTTTTAACTAACTCTAGGTTTTATTTTGAAAATGTGAGATTTCATAACATTCATTACCTTACCTCACCTAACATTACCTTCCAATTACTAATTGGACACTTTTATTTTGAAAACAAAGACACTTTAAAATAATCTTTCCTTAAAGTTGACTTGCTGCTGGAGCCTCAAGTGGACATTAGAGGAACTGCAGTTTTTGTTCCATCAACACTGGCTTCATGCTTTAGACTCTATGATCAGCTTGTTTTGTTGCTGTTTGAAAGCCTTTGTAATGTTAATTTGAAAGAGTATAAGTAAACATCTGTGTAGTATTTTCTCCTACAGCTTTCTTAAAATGTGAGTGGGTTAAAATCAGACACCACTGTGGGAGTTCTCAGGTGGAGAGTGTTAAGAAAGATGGTGTTTATGAGGGTAACATGTGTTTCTGTCTGCAGGTGATGTTCTGCTGTTGCCCATCATGGAGTTTGCAGGGAAGGACATCAGCAGCTGGTTTGACCCCAAAACTGAAGACGTGAGTGCCGATCAAACTTACGTGGACTGGTGTTAGACTGTGTAGAGCTTTTCTACTGTAGCACAGACCCAAGAGTTCATTTTTACTACTTAAGCTACATTTATGTCTTAGATTTTACTTCATCTTTCAACTTTAAGCACTTTCTCACTGCTTGTATGGATGCTTCTGGGACCGTTCAGGGGATCAGTGTCTTGCTGAAGGGCATTACAGCATGCTGGAATCAAACATCCTCCTGAGCCACACTCACACTCAGTCATCTCCTACACCTGTCATTAAGGGCAGCTTGAGTAATAGTCGTGCATTCCTAATCCTGCTGAAGAGTGTTTTCACCTGAATGTACTCGCCTGCTACTGAGTTCTGATTTGGAGAAAATTGAGATACTGTTGTCTAATCTCCTCTACAGGAAGCTTCACTTCAGGTTTAAGCCCAAGTCACACAGGCCTCGAGCCTCAGTCAGCCCAAATCCTTCCAACCTCGAGCAACTTTCAGGAAAAAAACACTTTTTCCTAGAGACCTGTGGTTTCCATGGGAGTGCAGACTGCTCTCTAGGCTTGTGTGAGTGGTCAGAATCAGTTTCCAGGTCACATCATTTTCTCGTATAGAAAATATAGAGAAATAAAAATCCTTATCACAGTTCAGCTAAAGATAACCAGACAACATTTTCTGTTGCTTTGTACTTGGACAGTTAAAGTAAACACACTTCACTGTTTTCTCCAGCAGGTTTTGCTTTTACTTCATGAGGACATTTCAGTTCTCTGATCTGGAGTCTGTGGGCAGTGGCCCGCCTCAGACCTGAAACCTGAAAGAAGCATCTGGTGGTTTTATGCTCCTGTGCTGTCAATGTAAAAAGATAGTAAATTAATTTCCCACCTGTCCTCAGATCCTGAAGTACGTGGACCCTCTGACCTGCTGTGTGGCGTACTACACCCCCAGAGGGCGTTTCCTGCACATCCCCCCCAACGGTCCGCGCTCCGACTGGGACAGCGACATCGGACAGCCGTGGTGGAGAGATAGCCGATACGAGGTGGGGCTGCTGTCCGCTAAAACCAGGTGGATGCGAATCATCAACACGCTGACGTCACAGGAGCAGTGGATGGAGGTGAGCACATCACCTCAGCCAGATGCACTTTGGGTAACTGCGCCTTCATGATGTGGTTAACGGTCACAAAGACGTTTAGCTACAAACACAGTGTGTGTCCTGATGCCCTCAGGTGTGCTCAGAGGAGACTCTGAACGAGATCCTGCAGCGCTACCTGCGATACAACTCGCATGCCCGCAGCTACACCTGGAAATACAACGGCGCCGTCCTGGACATGAACAAGACGCTGAGTGAGAACAATGTCCCAGACAATGACCTCGAGCTCGAACAGCTGCGTCTGGACCGAGACGCATTCACCCCCGCCATCCTCCTCCACTACAACGATGACCTCACTGAGGGCTGACCTCTGACCCTGAACTGTGGACTAGAGCATAACAGTTATTTTATTAAAGCTGTGCTAACAGGTGCCTTTTCTAACTGTCGTTTGATGAAAGTTTTAACCAAAGAGAGACCGTAAATTGTCTTTAAAGGCCAATCTGAGCTGCACATTAGCACAGATGGACTCCCACAAAGTCACTGGAGACTCAGTTAGGGTCAGCTGAGGCCCCTGATGGCTAACTGAGCTAAGCAGTTGGCAAATTTTGTGCATCAAGAGGCTGATCCAGAGCCAAACTCTGTTTGGTCTATCTGTCTATATGTTGTTTCCTTGCATTTAACTTAATTTTACATCTTCTTTTACATCTATAGTTCAGCCCCTCACATCTTTAAACATCTTTAAATATGACAAGATGAATATGAAGAGAAAATGTTGGCCACCCCTGGTTTAAACCTAATTCATTTGCAATTCCTTCAGTGTCCACTCCAGTGAGTCAGGCCCCATAGACTCCCGTGTTAAAATATTCAAGTCTTCAGGTGAAATTAACATGTTTACAACCTTTACAAATAATAGATTTCAGGTAGAATGAGATATATATTAATAACATATAACGTACAACAACTAAAGGCTTAAAAAAGTGGAAGTTAACGTCAGTAAAACACATGTGTATATGTACAACAAGCCTGTAAAAGTCAGACCTGAAGCTTTTTAGCCTCTAGTTGGCGTATCTCTGGATGGCATAACCATCTGAGAACACTGTGAGTAACAAAACCCAGAATGGGGTGTCACAGAGTGTTTTCTTACAGGTCATGGAGTTCCACAGGGCTCTGTTATAGGTCCTTTACTTTTGTTCAGATTTAAATTATAATCTAAATTCACCTGTTTAAATTGTATTAACACTTAAAGTTTCCATTAATGGTAGTGTGGCCTTTTTGCTGCTGTTGGAACATTATGTTTAATGCAAACATGTGACTAAAATTGTACTTGAGACCATCCCCTAAAACCTGGTGAATGTTAATGTGTTTATGAATTAATGTCATAGAAAAACGGATCCAGATGGTTTTACACAGTTTAAGGTTTCAGTTAGATGAACACTGTGTCCTGAGCAGCTCTTGTTTTATATCGAGCTTTGTGTTTATGGTTATCTTGTGTTAAAGTTTAAGACCACATGTCTGTGTTTGTTTGTGATCTTGCATTTACACATAGTTTGAATTTGTGAACACTGTGGTTGATTTTAGGGAAGTTCAGACCGAGGAATGCTTCCCTCCCTGGGAGAAAATGTTTCTGAACAAAAGGGAAATTCTGAGGCTCATTTTACAGAAAATACTAAAATAGGATGTGAGACCAGGAGCTAAATCCTCAAAAATAATTATGATGTGCTTAATAAAACGGGTACTTGCACATAGTTTCATACTTGGTGGGTGGGAGGGAGGAGGTGATGTAAACTTTTATCTGATGCTTTCCAGCAGATTCTTCACAGGCAGAGCAGAGGTGAGGAGCACTTTACTCTTTCTCCATTATTAGTTTGAATTAGCTTTGATATTTAAGTGAGTTTGGTAGAAAGAACAATTTGATTTTGTTTGATTTTGTTGAGATTAGCATAGGTGTATTTATATACTGAATATCTACATAAATCCAGCTACAGGTGTATTCATTTAAACTACTTTGATGCGATTTATATTTAATATGTTTAAAATAACTTTACGGTTTAACTTGAAAGTAATAAAGGGAGGCACCAGGTAGTTTTTGAGACTTTTGTTCATCTCTCTAAAGGTACTGTAACTTGACTGACTCTATTTTAACCACAGAATGGAGGAATCATATTATGAGAATTACTGGGACCAGACGACGCTCTCTCTCACAGGTATCCATTTCATTTAAGTTGGGAATGTCTTGGTTGTAGCGTGCATCTGTAATAACTGAGCGTCTGTCAAGCAGACAGTCCAGCACCCTCCTCTGCATCCAGGTTCAGACGGTGGCTGTTTCCTGGTCTGATCGTCGTGGTCCTGCTGATTCTGATCATAGTGATGGGAAGTACCAGTAAGTGCGTGTACACACACACACACACACACACACACACACACACACACACACACACACACACACACACACACACACGTTCTAGTTTAGGTTAAATGTGGTGACCACTGTTGTCAGGTCATTTGTGAGGACCCCCAGTTTATACTTTCATAAACAGACACAACCACAAAAAAGTCAAGTATTTTGTCACCCAGATGCCTCTAGAGAGCTAAACCTTTAAAATCATTGCAGCACTAGCATCTTCATCTTCTTCTGGCTTCTGTCTTTAGAAGTTGCTACATCTCAGCCTATCCCCAGGATCCTCCTCTATCACACCACTCTGCATGTCCTCGTTCTGTCATGGTCCGAGGTCACTGACCCAGTGTCTTGACTTCATAGTTGATAGATGCTTATCCCCTCCTGGCATGTTTCTGGTTGGTGTGGTTTTCTGTTTTAATGATTCTTTTGAGCATTTTTGTACCTTTTTGTATCCAGATTTCTTTTGTATTTTCCCCACACACACTACCAGTGTTGGGAAAGTTATGTTGAAAAAGTAATTAATTATAGTTACTAGTTACTTCTTCAAGTTAGTAACTGAGTCACAAGATTCTAAAAGTAATTAATTACTTGAAAAGTACTATTGCGTTACTTTAACAAAACTTTTAACCCTCTGGGGTCCAGGGTTTTAACTACTTTTGATTTTCCCTCCACATTTTAAAAACTATTTACTTTGCCTTGTTTGGTGTCATTCGTTTCAGCACAGCCTCACGTGTCTGAATTTACAGTTATGTTTTCATTTTGACATACTGTATTAACACAATCGATCTAAAATCAGACAAAAAACATAAAATCAGAGTAGAAAAAGTTATATTTTTTACTGTAACAACCACAAACATCTTTAATGAAACATATTTCATAACTTCAAATGCAAATATAAATTGTCAATTTTAAAATCCTATGCACAAGTTTTGCAAACAAAGTTATTTGCATCCATTTACCTTTTACCTTGATTTTTTAAATAACCATTTCAAACTATTTACAGAACAATCAGCTGTTCTTCAATAAGATGCCACAAATTATTTGTGAAACTCCAAAAACATAATTTCTGTCCACTATAAAGGAGAACATCACAGCCTGATACCTGCAGGTCTGACAGCAGCAGGAGTATCACTCCTGTTTCTACCTGGAGACAGCAGTCGCCTCATTGTTCTGACACACAACACAAAAATACCCACAACACTACACACTAACTACACAAGACAACACATGAACTACACACTCCAAACACGCAAAACGTCACAAATCTCTCACATCTCAAAACTCGCTCTCTCTCTCTCTCTCTCTCTCTCTCTCTCTCTCTCGCCGTCACTCCTAAAACTTCCTGTTTTTTTGTTGTTTTTATTTTAATTTTGCTCATAAGCAGAGAGTGCTTGCTAGCGCTGTCCTTAGAAAGTAAACGTGTGATTATTGACTTGTTGCATCACACGAGAGTGCTACAATGACTCTGGTTTTACGTGGCCTATCAACACAATTTACAAACTGGTATCTATCACCTTGTTGCTTTGTCTTTAAGTGGTCATGTGATTGTCTTACCACGACTACTTTATTCTTCCTCAGTCAAACAGCAGCACTCATGCGATTGTTTTGCCCCCTTAGCTCCAGGTGTTGTGCTAGACAGTGATCGTGATTACCGTCCGCGGGAGCGCACAGCTGCTTAAAGCTGTAGCGTCCAGATTACTTACAGCCACTTCTGTGCAACTGATATAAGATGCGGTAAGCTGAGCGCAGCTTCAACCGTCTGTTTGTTGAAAAATAGTAACGGACCACAATTTCTTGTTAGTAACTGTAACGCCGTTGTAACGATAGGAATAGTAATTAGTTAGAATCCTCGTTACTGAAAAAAATAACACCGTTAGTAACGCTGTTACTTGTAACGCCGTTATTCTCATCACTGCACACTACCAATATTATAAGTAAGCTCTGCGTTTTCAGTCTGCCTTTTAAAATAGAAATAGAATAGAGTAGTCTTTTGTCATTTTTAATGTACAACTAAATTCTGGGTGTCCCACATCAACTGTGTTGGAATAAAATATAAATAGAAAAACACAAAAAGGTGCACAGTAGTTGGAAGCACTGTGCCACTGCATATGTGTGTACGTGCCACCATCTTGAGCCGTTCATGTCTAGGTCTGCATTTGGGGTCCAAATCCACATGCTAAATCCCACCTCTACATCCATAAACATCCTTCGAGGTCTTTCTCTTTTCCTTTATGTCCAATATATCAATGATCCCTCCCCTGCACACTCACCATCTCAGCTTTCCACTTCATATGTATTATTTATAGTCTCTAGTGAAATAAACACTTACAAACTTTTTCTTGTATGTGGAAATGATTATTACCCATAAGGAAAAGAAATAGTAAAACCATACACAATTTACTCATGAAAGTGGCCACTTTCTCATTACTTTCATACATTGTTTTAGTAAGTATCCAAAACATACAAGTTTCATTATATAATTTTTCAAGGGATCTTATATCTGTTTTCACTCTTGTATGCTTTTCATACAAGACAGATTAAAAACTTTATAAGATTTATATATATCTTTTCCTGTATTTCCTATCTTTTCTTGTATGTGGAAATGATTATTAGAATCAGCATGAGCAGAGTACGTTAGTAGCTAAATCACTGTGACTGCAAAGATGGTTTACAGAATTTTCTTGTAATTGAAAATAATTTTTGATCCTTCAACATGACATAAAGATAAAACAAATGATAACTAAACTCTAATCACACAATAGATATTTACATGACATCATCTTGAAATTAAATTATTATTAAATAAATACAATTTTCAGCCATAGAAAGATAAAAGTCATTTGATTTACAGTTTTTGTTATATTGAATCTACATTATGTAATAGAGCCAGTTTTTAAAATCAGCGTTTTATTTTATCATCTCTAGTTTTGTTTCATTTTGTTCTTTTAATGATTTTGCTTTACTGAGCATTTTTTATTTTGTCTTATTTTGTTGAGCAAATTTCTTTATTACACTATTTTATTGTATTATAGAGTGTTTAGTTTGCTATACTACAAGAATTTCCTCTTTTTGGGGATGTGTACAGTTGACCTTGTCCATCTCTTTTTTTCAGACAGGAAGATGTCAAATCGTCTGGGGACTTTGGAGCAGACAGTTTCCAACCTCAGTAAGATCGTCCAATCACTGAACGCCTCACTGCATCACACTCAAGGTAGCACACCTGTTAGTTAACGTCTTTTTGGAGAACACTCAAAAAAACAAAAAACAAAACAAAAACAGGACACAGTTTCAGCACATTACTCTGCTACACTTAAAATCTGAATGTGGTTAGCTTACATAGATTTTATACGTCAAACTTAAAGGTGTTTAGATCCACAGCATAACTAGTTATTGTCCCAGTTCTGGGTCATTTTGACCCAGCATTTTCAGTTTCTTGTGTTTTGGTATTCTTCTGTTCTTCTGTGTTATGATTCTCTCTGTGAGGGAGGATACCTCCTCCCTCACAGAGAGAATTATGACTTTGTTTTCTGCTTAGCCTTCACCTAAGGATTTACATCCCTGATAAGCAGAAGGAGTCTCACTATCTGTTTAACGTCTCCCATTACAATGGACTCACTGTGTTAACATTCCACATGCATGTAAAGGAGTGCTCTTACTATGGTAAAGTGAGAAAGTGATATTACTATAACTAATGTGATATGATTAAATATGTGATTAATGCATGAGAAAAGAAATCTTCCACCACAAACATTATTTATTTAAATTAAAATGACACATTTATATTAAAGCACTGCTTATTTATAGTGGAGTAGATTCGATATCTTTGTGTCAAATTAATTGTTGTTTTCCATAAAACCACTCGATTTAAAGGTTTAAAGTAATTCCTCTCCATTTCTGAAGTAGGACCCAAACGTTAAACTCTTCAGTTTAGACAGAGTGTTTATTTACAAAGTGGTGAAGTAATTCACCAATAAATCCCCGTGTGTCCCAGACTCCCGTGCCGTGTCTTCATCCAGTGTCAGTGCTCTGTGCATCTGCTCCTTAGTGTTCATGTAACCTGTGCTTGCTGCCCTCTCGTCCCGCAATTCTCCTGAGAAAATAACAGAAGGAACCATAAATACACTACACTGCGACAAACTCACACTCACTGACTTCCAACTGGGAAACTAACAGGAAGTCTCACAAAACGATCCAGCATCGGAGAGCGCTCCACCACACTGCTAAGTAGCTCCCTCGAAGAGGCTTGATCATCTGCAGGTTTGTGTGAACATCTTCCTCAGGTGTGGCCAGCCACCTGGCAGGGCACACCCACCAGGCCTAATGGTGCCCGTAAACCAGCCTACCAGATGCACCCACACCCATATACACACCCACACACACATACCTGCAATCAGGGAAACCAGTGACAGCCATACCATACATCAAATATACTTCTAACAAGTAATAGAAGTCCAAAACTGCAGAGGACCCCAGGTCCCTGACACTAAAATATTTATCTCATAAGGGGTTTATGCAGACTTACACTAACAATGTGAAAGTCTAAACCAAACCTCATCGTTTTAAGTGTTCCAGTTGCTAAACATGCTAACATGCTAAGTCTCCTTGCTTCTAGAAATGGCTAAACAAGTTCAGCAGCTCCAGTATGCTGTTGAGAACAACAAGGACCAGCTTAACTCAGGTTTGTCTGCCCCCCTGTGGATTATACTGCTGGTGATGACTCCAAACATCATGTTTAACCTGTGTTTGTGCTGTGTGTTCAGTGTCAGAGGCACCGAAGCAGCTGTCGGCCATCGACTCTCTGAGCAAGAGCATCGCTGCCATCAAATGTTCCCACGAACACGTCATCAACAACAGTGTGTATACCATATTTATATCAGGAAAATACACATCTGCAGACTGACGCTCACACCTGTGTACCTGTTTCTCTCTGTCAGGTTCAACTACAGGTGGTTGTTGTCCTGTGGGTTGGACTGTGTTTGAGTCCAACTGTTACTTCTTCAGCGGTGATTCTCGGTCCTGGAACGAGTCCAGAGACTGGTGTGAAACACAACAAGCCCACCTGCTCATTCTGCACAACGACAAGGAGTGGGTAAGACCTGCCACACTTGTCACATAATTCAACATGTACGAGTCTTTATTTGAATGGTAACGTTTCCTAGTTTGTAAAAATGTGTCTGGTTAACAGCATCTTAACAATTCAGACAGCAGAGACTTCAGAGCCTCAGAGGTGTCAGTGGACAATGTCATGGGCATGGCACACTTTTTAAAACATAATTTAACTCTTTCACCCATAAAGACAACATTTTACTTATCTTTTTTGTGAGCAGGCCTGAAGTAGAACAGAAACACTTAGAAAAGAGCTTCAAAATGACTCGTAGATAAAGAGTCGAGGTTTAAGATTTACTGTCTGACATTTTCTGGACTTAAGAAAAGATTTGAAAACTTTATGTGCACACAGTCAAAAGCATCTTTAACTAAGCAAGTAAGTTTTTATTTAAAATGGAAGACTGAGAAAAGTCAAAGTCACATGAGGACGTTGCACCAAGGCTAATGTTAACAAATCCACTGCTTAAATGCTGCCCTCTAGAGGTAAAAGTGGAATTTACACAAAGGACCTTCAAGTTATGAATATCCTGCATTTTATTTTATTTTTTTAGTAGTTTGCAGACAAGGAAATAACAAAAAATTACTTTATACTTCTCTCTGTCCAGGACTTTGTGACCCGCAGGAGCATGCCTCACTTTTACTGGATTGGTTTGTCTGACTGGAGGACTGGGCGCTGGGAGTGGGTGAACCAGACGCCGTACACAGTGGAGCCCAGGTCTTTAAAAAAAAAAAAGATGTGTGACCTCTCTTCTGTCTTGCATTAATGATATGGAAAGAATCAAAATCAAACAATTCCAGATGAAAGAGGATGAAAATCACAAAGCCATACTGGCATCATACTAGCCAAACCAGCCATTCCAAACTTTTTAAAAATTATTTTCCATTTTTCTTTAACTTATTTTTTTCCATTTACTATTTTTCTGTACTGTGCTTTGTGACTGCAAGTCTGTGAGTCTGCAAGTCTTCCTTACTTATTTACTTACTTTCCTTTTTTCCTTTTTCCATGTTTCATCCTGCTTTTTATTGACTTTAATTCCCCAAATGTTTGGGCCATACTCAAAGACACATCATGCCTTTTATTAGTATTTTTTATTTTTCAAATAGGTTTTTCGGAAATTACAAAAACATGCACACATGTCCACAGATTGCCCTTAAAGAGACTGACTCGACTGAAAAAGAAAGTGATCCAGAGTTGGCGGGAATTTTATATCCGGTTTCCAGCTGCAAATCCCTCCTGTCAGACACTGTAGAAACAAAATTAGCATGTTAGCAGAAGCAGCATTTTCCCTGCGGCTTTACTCAGTGTTAGCACAGCTTTTAGTGCAGAAATGAGCCATGCCAGCTTTGACAAAAGCTGCTGTAACCCTGGAGATGAGAATAGGACAATTATGCTCACTTCTGCATAGAATTTGCTCACAAACACAAGTAATGTATGTGTGTTTTTCCAGGCGGTGGAAACCCGGGCAGCCGGACAACCTGACCGGGCACGGAGATGAAGACTGCGCTCACCTTTATGATGATCGACTCCTGAACGACGTGCACTGCTCCATCAAGATGCAGTTCATCTGTCAGAAACCTACCCTGAATGCCTGAACACACCTGCTTCCCTGGCTTTGCCCACATCTGCTCTCAGATTACACCGCAAAAACTTATAACATAATGAAGATATCCCACTTTCTGGACTTACTGCTCTACAGGGGGCGCTCTCCAGCAGGTCCAGAGTTAATGAGGCTATATGGAGCTGTAGAAGAAAATTATAAAATTGTAGAAAATTTCCCAAGGTGTTTACTTTAAAGACTGAATAAAACATGGACTAAAACTGAGACTGTGGAAAAACAATAGTGAGAGAGACCTGTAATTGCAACACATGAGCTCTTTAATGAGCGTCCTGATGCCCTCAGGTGTGCTCAGAGGAGAATCTGAGGAGATCTTCCAACATTACCTGCACTACAACTCTGACGCCCAACGCTACATCTGGAAATACAACAACAACAGCACTGTCGGGACATGAAGATGCTGAACGAGAACTGCGCTCCAGTGAGATCTGCTCAGCCCCGCTGTCCGCCTCCCTCTTAAATGACAACCTCACTGAGGGCTGACCTCTGACTTCTTGAACGTTGGACTTTCACTTGGTCATGGAGTTGGGTTTTGTTTTAGCTACATACTAATGAGGAACTTTTTATTCAAAAAACCTACGATTTGAATGAATACAATTATGTATAAAGAGGTTAATGTTAGCCAAACCCTACCCCTAACTCTAAATGGGGTCCTTGTGACCAAGCATATGCTAGGACATGACATTATTATTATTTTTTTGCTATTTCTAATCATTTGTGGCTGCACATTTGCTTTTCTTGTTAATTTGCTTTCATCCTTTTGGTCATCATGCTGTATTGTGCACATGTGGGTAAAACACACATCAAGGGCTGGACTAGGCCATGTAACATCTCAGTAAGGTGTTTCATCAGTGCCAAATAATTAGCAAGATCTAATAATATTTTAACAGTATTTTCACTGTAACCTTTAACCATGCTTCGAGTCAGTTAACCATGATGTGGTAATTTTGTAAAGTTATCTAAGTCTGTGGTCCTGAAGTAGAAATGCTGTCCACTCCAACCTAGGGGACAAACCTAGTGGACATTAAAGGAGGACATCCTTACCCACAGACTCTCACATTCAAATGTCCAAGTTCAAAGCAGAAATAAACATTGTTACAGCCTGATTACAAAAAATAGTTTTGGTCTCTATATCTACACCCCTGCTTTATAGCAACAAACTTACTTTTTTAAAGCATCTGAATAAAGCCATGTCAGTGTCAGATGTTATGATGGTATTATCGTCACACAGATTGCATACAGTTTTTGTAGGTTTTGGTTGATTTTAGGGAAGTATCAACTGAAAAGTGGCGCTTTGGCAGGGAATGGCTGCCTGTTTCTGATTAAAAAGGAAGTTTTGAAAGCAACTTCTGTAAAACTTGGGCTGATTCACTTTAAAATCTAACGAATAGGATGATAAACACGAAGCTAAGACCCCCAAAATGTTGTGACATACCCATAAAAATGATGAGTGAGTGTTTTCACACAGCTAGTTGCATGAAGGGCAGGAAGAGGAGGATATATCAATCTTTATGTCTGAGAATCCCTGTTACTTCAGAGGCAGAACAAAGGTGAGAAACTCTTTCATTATTAATTTGTAACAGTGTGAATTGGGTTTGATATTTGAATCAGTTTAGTAATTTTAAACACAGCTTTGTATATTTATTGAAAATATACATAAATGCAGTTAGAGTTTACATTTAAACTGCTGTGGTTTGATTCTTTTCAACATAAATATTCAAATCTATAACAGGTTAAATTAAAATGCAGAACTGATTCTTTATACTTTGCTTCCAAGCAGCAAGACTTTAAGATGGTCTTGAGCAGAAGTTCTCCAGGCTTTCTAAAGGTCTTTTTTTTTTCCATTGGCTGCTTTTTCACCCATTGTCAGTCCAGTTCCTTAACATTTTCAGCATAGACCGCATTTACTGATGGGGACATAAAGAACTTCCATTTTTGGGCACATTTTCAGGCTCAACAAATGTTGCTGACTTCTATAATTAGAACAAGGGTCTAATGAACCCAGTTTGAGGTTAGGATACGGGAGCATACGAGACGTGTACTCTGTAACTCAGACTATTTCAGGAACAGCAGGTCCGGGGGAGGTTGAGGTCAGGAGACCTCCAGCAAGAGAAGGGTCTTCAACATACTCATATATGATATCAAAGGTGAAGCAACAGCAGGTATAAATGTAAATGTGGAGTGGATGTGTCTTTGTCACATGGGAACAATAAGACCCACTCATGAATAAATATCTCAAACCATCGAACTATCCTTTTGATTGTCTCCTTCCACAACTACATCACCGTCATTATAGAACGAACCAATTTTAAAACTGTATCTTTAGGCACTTTGTTACTAGCAGCCTGCTGCAGAAACACACCATTAGTTCCCATTTTTGTGGCTCAATCTATGAAAATTATCTGATATAATACAGTTTGACTGGAATCAAGTATTTTTGCACCAACAAGATGATTCCCAAATAACTATTACCTGAAAATTTTGACTTAAGAAAATCAGGAAACTGTCTGGACAAAGAAGTGGCAGGTCTAAAAAACAACAAAAAACTGTGCTGCAGATAAACAGTATCTGAAAATCAAATCATTGAGAAAGATGAAAAAATTAAACACTTCATTTTTCAGCATGACAACGATCCCAAGCACACTGTTAATGCAATAGGATTAGAATAGCTATTTTTTTGAGAATCTTTTTGTGCAGATTTCTTTACTTTTTAAAATTTCTTATTTAACCAGACTAGGTGGCCGCGATGTCTGACGTACCTTATGAAAATAATTGGGACAACACTGCCCTCTGGACCAAAGGTATCTGTTTGAGCTTGAGTAGGCAACTTATTTGATTTTAGGATTTTAAGATCTACTTGTGAAGCAGTAACTATGTCTGTCTGTGTCTGTCAGATTCTCCACCGCACTTCGTCTCACCGATGTCCAGGTTCAAACGCTGGTTATTTCCTGGTCTGACTGCTGTGATCCTGTTGATTCTGATCATAGTGCTTGGAGTTACCAGTGAGTATAAAACAGACACATAAACAGAGATTTCTTTATGACTAATTTTACTCCGCTGACCTTTTTGTGATTATGCTGATCTGCTTTGTAAGGCTGTCACTTTTATTCCATTACAGGCTATGCTCACTGTTTTAGTTACTATAACACAAGCTTAGCTAAATATTATTTTTATTTGCTGTCGTTTTGTGTGTTCAGACACGAAGACATCAAAATATCTGTGGTCTGTGGATCAGAGAGTTTCCAACATGAGTGACATCATCCAGTCATTTAACACCTCACTGCATCAAGCTCAAGGTAAAATGCCTGTTAGTCAATGTCTTTGTCACACATAGTATTAGAAAACTAAATGTGGTTAGTTTATATGTAAAGACTTTATAAGTCAGACCTTCCAAGTTAACAGATTTGCGGATTTGCAGTGTAACCCACAACATCCAGAATTTTATGGCTCCCTAAAGACAAGACCTGCTCCAGGTTTTTCCAGTCATTTGGGATAACTGGGTCTGACCAGCAGCATTCATCTAATCCAAGTCACCAGAACGTAGTGATCACTTGACAGTGCTGCTTTTCTCTCTGAGAGTCTAAGACATAAGATCAGAATATATGACAACAAAGTTAATTACTGACCCTTAGCCTACGGCGCTCAAACACCATATGCACTTATGAGCCACCTTGAACATGATGTTTGTGATGCCTGGTACAGAAGTGAAATAACAAAATACCAGTCTGGTTCAAATCAGACTGGGTAGTGCTTGCAATCTACAGGTGTCTACTATGTCACCCACATGAGCTTTTAAAGGCACCACGGCGATTTATGTAGTCCCCAACAAGGACTGTAGGATTCGATCAAAAATTAACCAAGAAGATTTGGTGTTCTCAACTGCTGCACAAGTGCGCACATTCAAAAGGATTACCCTCTGTGAGCTAAATGTTCATAGAGGTGACTTTCACTTTCGGGGATTGTGATTCCACAATCCTTCCTTTAGAAAGAAGTGAGGCCATCTAGTGATGGTGAGATGAAGCCTTGTGATGAACTGAAGCTTTCCATCCAACAGGTCGACGGTCCAATATGGTTCCAAGTATTGTGATGATTCATTTGCTCTACTGCACCATCAAGTGGACGATTCAAGTGAAACAGGCTCTGTGATTATAATGATGTGATGTGTAAACCTCTAAACTAAATAAATAAATTGTTTTCATAGTTATTTATCCCAAATATTGTCTCAGTCTGATACAAAAGAGAAAGTGGAAACTATCAGGACAGAATTTTTAACTGTGTAATCATGCTTATATCTACATCCGGTTAGCCAGTGCTGTCTCAGTACTAGGTGCGTTTAAATAGCTGCCTTTCACCTATTCCATTTCATATTAAGACACTTTGGTTTTCCCATAGCCCTTCTGTTCCTTAACAACATCTTATCTGAAGGATTTTTGAGATATTCTAAATTAATCAGTGAACTAGCCACAGTGTCAAATATGCTAACATGCTAAATCTTTTTCTTTCTAGAAACAGCTAAACAAGTTCAGCAGCTGCAGTTTACTGTTGAGAACAACAAGGACCGGCTTACCTCAGGTCTGTTTGCCCCGCTGTAGATTTTACTGCTGGTGATAACTCTAAACATCATGTTTAACTTCTGTTTGTGCTGTGTGACCAGTGTCGGAGGCCATGAAGCAGCTGGCACTCATCGACACACTCACCAAGAATATTGCAGCCATCAAATGTTCCCTTGAACACATCATCAACAACAGTGCGTTTACCATATTTTACCATTTTACACATCTGCAGACTGAATTTCACATCCGTGGTAACTGTTTCTCTCTGCCAGGTTCAACTACAGGTGGTTGTTGTCCTGTGGGTTGGACTGTGTTTGAGTCCACCTGTTACTTCTTCAGCAGTGATTCTCGGTCCTGGACTGGGTCCAGAGACTGGTGTGAAACACAACAAGCCCACCTGGTCATTCTGCGTAACGACAAGGAGTGGGTAAGACCTGCCCACACCCGTCACATAATCTACTATGAAACACTTTTTTGCATTATTGTGCAATATTGTATTGTACCACAAGATGGAGTAGTGAGTCAATGTAATTTTTATTTAAACAGCTTAGTCATTAAATACAAATTCTTATTTGCAAACATATGCTGGGAAAAGGGCTCCTGTTGAATATTTATCTCTGTCTTAGCAGAGACAAATATTCAAAAGAGCGGGAACACATCTCACAACAAATTGAGACACACACACACAAACAATAATCTTTTGTTTGTTTGTTTTTTTCCAAATGCCGTCATTGTCTCTTTATCCAGGACTTTGTGACCCGTAATACAATCCCTCAATTGTACTGGATCGGTTTGTCTGACTCCAGAACTGGGAGGTGGGAGTGGGTGAACCAGACACCATACAGGATTGAGCGCAGGTCTGTTTCAGTAACAAAAAATATAAATTCTCTGTTATTTTCTCCTGTCATGCTGCATTAACTGTGTACGGCCACTTAATATCAATTAACTCGAGACACAAGGATGAAAATGACTATTTCTTGCATTTATAAAATATTCTCTAACCTGCAATTTAAAACTCAAGGTCCAATTAAAAATCTGAGAACTTTCTGTTACATTTTCTCCTGTTTACCTGTGTTCCCCTTGATGAATGTGCATTTTCAGGCGATGGATACCTGGGCAGCCTGACAGCTGGACTGGGCACGGTCTTGGAGGGGATGAAGACTGTGCTCACCTTCACAGTGATGGACGCCTGAATGACCACCACTGCTCCGCCAGGTTCCGCTTCATCTGTCAGAAACACAGCCTGAACATTTGAACACATTCGTTTGCCTGGCTCCGCCCACAAACTGCTCTCCAACTACTGTTGATTACAAAGAAAATTTCTCTTTAAGATATAAGACAGAAAAATCTTATTAAGTAGAATTCATCTAATGTGGACTTCCTGTTCCATAGTGGGGCGCTGTTGAGCTTGACCAGAATGAATGGGACTCTAAGGAGTCCATGATTTACAGGTTGTGTTTTTGTTGTAGTAAAATACCTTTCTGTGAGTATTAGGGACATCACACCACCAGGTCCAGTTTATCCCAGATCACGAAGCCTAACCCTTTGTGCTCTTTAGCTTCACCTACCACCATTCAAACTGAACAGGCTTACTGTGGGCATGTTTTAGATAGCACACAAGAGTCACTGTGATGTCACACATTGATTATAGACTCACTATGTTGGGTTTTCGGTGCCAGAAACAATAAGCAGACTGGGTGAAGTGTTAAGTTATCAGTTGTGTGCATCTCACACAACTGAAACATAAAAATTGTACTACAGTTGTACAAACAATGCTACAATGTAAACCTAAATAAAAAGTATCCATCCATCCATCCATTTTCTTCCACTTGTTCTTGTCGGGGTCGTGGGGTGGCTGGAGCCTAGCACAGGGCGAGAGGCCGGGTACACCCTGGACAGGTCACCAGTCCATCCCAGGCCTAATACAAAGAGACAGACAACAATTCACACTCATATTCACACTTAAGGGAAATTTAGGATCACTGATTAACATAACCCCACTAACTGCTTTGGACTGTTGGTGAAAGCAGGAGTACCTGGAGGGGTGATCAATAATTGAGCTCTGTGGAACTCCACAACCTGTGAGAGAACACTCTGTGATGTCCCGGCGTTTTCGGTGGAAGAAACACATCACGATGAACACAATCAATTTACTAGATCTTCCTTGCGAGGATGATTCAGACTTGCATCAAGAAATTCTATGTTTTTTCTTTAGGATTTCTCGAGTTTTGGCTTCTGATTTCATTTTGTTGGTTTCTTTGTTGGGTTTCTGATGTTCTTAGGTTCACTCAGTCTGTCTTTTTTTTTTTGTCCATTGCCTTTGACCTCTTGTCTCTGGTCACTTCCTTTTTCAACGTTATTCTCTGATGCGTCTTGTTCTAGATGCACTTTGCTTTTTGTTTCGCTCTTTGCAATTATATGCCCTGCTCTCATTGTCTCAACCTTTGATTGCTCTTGCATGTGCTCTGTCCCCTCCACCATCTGATTCCTCACGTAAACTTTAGTTTACTTAAAGAAAAAAAAAAACTTGCCTTCTTTGTTTTTGTAAAATTGTTTGTCAATATTTTTTTTCAGTTTGCATGCTTTTTATGTTGGATGACCCGAGTCTCCTGACAACTTTTAGTTTACATTTTCAAGTGTAATAAAGTTGCTTTTACACCCAGAGTACTCCCTCTGTTTGGGTCATCTCTCCTGAATTATACTGAAACTTTCAGTGACTCCGATACAGTGAAGCTTTTAGTTCACTTGCGTCCCAATAATATTTTATTCATTTATTGGTTTCACAAGGCAAAACATATCTACTTACAGTGAGCATATGATAAATCTGATGTAGTCCATGCAATGACACAACCAATCCTAACAGCTGCAGGTGTCTAAAAGGGAGTTTTTCCTTCCCACTGTCACCAAGTGCTTGCTCAAATGAGGTCGTCTGATTTTGGGGTTTTTCTCTATATTATTGTAGTGTCCTTATGATATAAAGTGCTTTGAGGTTGTTGTTTAATTTTTCCAGTATAGCAACAGCAAATTTTGTACTGCTGTTTTGCAGTCATGCACTTATAAAACTTCATAAAAGCATCATCTCATAGTTCTACCCAGCCACAAAATGTTGAATTAACACTTTCATGCATGAATTATGAAAACCTCAATCAGGATCTTTTTTTCTTAGGTATTTTATTCATCTTTAGGCATGAAAAGATGAATAAAAATACTTCAGAAAAAATCATGGGTGAGGGTTAAATAACAAAAATTACAATGAAACACACCATACATTAAGTGACACGTCAGTGTCCAATATAGTGGTTTATGTGCAAGTAGACCATCAACACTGACACAAATACAAGAAAACAGCCTTTGAATAGCTGCCCACTGTAGTGACCACTATGTGTGAAAGGGTTACACTGCCTGGGAAACACCTAGCAACAAGCTAAAATGGATCAGCTTCAGCATTTATTCATCCACAACACCTTATAAAAACGTGTCTTTGAAATTTTAAAGCAAACAGTACTTCAACATGGGCATGTCCCAGGGAAGCAAAACTATTAAAACCTGTTATTAAATCTTTAGTTTTTGATCCCAACCTTTTCCAAGGCTATTTGGTGGGAAAAGGTTTGCAAATTCACCACATCTGTCATGCCAGATGTTTAATTACCTCTTGTTTATCACAACTGTAACTCCAAAAAGTGGGGAAAGGGAAATGTGCATATCACTGTGACTATCAATGTTTTGTACATTAGTCATTAGCCCTGACAGAACAGGATTTTCCCTGTAAAGGGTGAGTTTTAAAAAGTGCACAATCAGAATTCACTCTGAGATGAAGGCATTTGTCAGGCTGCTGAGTCAGCTGACAGTTTCCCACCAGCATAGATGGATTATCTATGAGCAACACTTTTGACTTTTGAAAAAAATACATTTTTGTTTTATATATGTAGACATTGAATAAGAAACTGCTTCAATGGACTGCTTCATCGTTAATGGTCGCAGGGACATAAGAACTGCGTATTTAAAAAAACAACCAAATCTGAAGGAAAGCTTTTTAAGTTTAAAAACTGAACTTTTCTCTGCAGATTAAACTTACATTGCAAAAGTAAAAGTTACTCAAGCATGTTAGCGTCATTAATCAAGACTACCAACACTAAATTAATCTGTGTGTGAGCAGATACGGCTGCCTCCAAACACAAACTTTCATAACCCTTCGATGTGAATTATTGCAAAAAAAAAAAAGACGATCTGCTCTACAATTGTCAGTTTTAGTCTTATGATTTCATGAATGCAACAAAACCTGGTATCACTGTATTGAACATGCAAAGTTAGAGTGTTTATAATCATAATGATCATAAATACAGTAAAAGATTTTAATTATTTTAGGGTTTTTTTGTGTGTGTGAAAGATTTAGGGGTGTTTGTGAACTTTAGTGTTCTGTTTTTTTTAGGGAAGCAAAACCTGCCCAGGTTTTGCTTCATTTTATAGCTGATTCAGAGCTGATTCAGAATGAACAGCATGTGCAACAGAGAGCTAATATTCATGACAGCATGGAGCCAGATTCACTTAAAATGATCATAAATATACTAAAAAACTGTAATTGTGTACAGCTATACAGATGCTGGTTTGTGAGATACAAATCTCACAGTGATGTTAACAAGCTCTTGTTTTTTCGTTTACTTATATTTCACACTGTGGGCCGTGTTACCTTCAGTTTAAAGCTCACTATATGATTTTGTGACTCCATACAGATTTATTTGGTCAAAAATGTCTGATAAAAGTAGCCGACCCCTTCACACTTTGTGCTCAATGATGCTCCTGAAAGCCAGCATTAGGTCAAGCTCTGTGTTTGATGTGAATGAAGAGAGCAATTTTTTGTGTGAAAGGTAGAGCAGTGTGTGTGAACTTTAGTGTTCTGGTTGATTTAGGGAAGTAAAACTGACAATAGATTCCCTTTCTGGAAACCCCCCCAAAAATGTCTTACAAGTTGATTCACAGGAAAAAATAGCATGTGCAGCAGAGAGCTGATGTTATTGGTGGCACGGAGCCAGATTCACTTAAAAAAAAAGATAACTGGGCATTCAAACTCAGTTCTGTATTTCATGGGTGGGACAGAGGAGACCATATATATTTTACCATCAGGGGAAACAGACGGCATATTGTTCTTCTCTGGTCAATCTACAGAAAAACAGGTGAGAAACCCCTTCTATTTCTTATAATGTCCAAATTTTACCCTCACAGTATGACTATTTTCTATCCTTAAAGTAAAGGACAGAAAATATTAATATTTTTAACACACATTGTGTTAGAATTTGATTCTTTTTAGTTTTTTGTCTTTTCCCATGCAATTTTGTTTCTACTTAACTACATAATTATGAAATAAAATTTGTAAAATTTGCAAGGCTGCAATAAACACATTTAAATTCTCTCCAGAAGTTGATTCTGTTCATCTGGATGTAACGTTTTCAGTGGGAGAAACGTTTTGTCACTCATCCAAGTGACTGATCAGTGGTTGTTGATCAATGGACATGACAATTTGCATAATTATGATTAAGGAACTGACCTCCCAGCCCATTGTTCCTTCAGTGGTGCTGGTTTTAGTCATTATGCAAATGTCTATAAGTAAGTAAGTAAAATGTATTTACATAGCACTTTTTAAAACAGGAAGTTATTTCAAAGTGCTTCACATGGTAATAAAAGCATATCAAATGAAACAATAAAACACTATAAAGAGGGTATAATAGCATAGCCAATAAAACAGTATACTACACATGAATATTACCTAAATGCCTGTCTAAACAGATGTGTTTTTAGCTGTTTTTTTTTTTTTAAAGAAGCTACAGAGTTGATGGTGCGTAGGTAAAGGGGAGGTAAACTGTTCCACAATATTGGAGCCAAGGTTTTAAAATCGCGATCCCTCCTGGTTTTCAAACGGGTCCATGGAAAGGTTGGAAGACCCCTATCAGTGGATCTAAGGATTTGGTTTGGAGAGTACGGTTGGAGAAGCTCAGTGACATAAGTGGGGGCCTCACCACGTAGAGACATGAATGTAAGAGTGAGGATTTTAAACTGATATCTATACTCAACCAGAAGCCAGTGCAAGGATTTTAACACAGAGAGAATTTATGACTGACTGATTTAGGAAAGCCTTAGACCAGGGGTGGGCAATCTCAGTCCACAAGGGCCAGTGTCCCTGCAGGTTTTAGATATGTCCTCGAACCAACACAGCTGATTTAAATGGCTAAATTAGCTCCTCAACATGTCCTGAAGTTCTCCAGAGGCCTGGTAACGAACTAATCATGTGATTCAGGTGTGTTGACCCAAGGTGAGATCTAAAACCTGCAGGGACACCGGCCCTCGTGGACTGAGATTGCCCACCCCTGCCTTAGACAGACAAGAAAAGACTGTGTTACAGTATGAGAGGAGATGAGGACATGGACAAGCATCTCTAAGCATCTCCAATGAAGTAGGTAGGACATCAACTGGACTCACTGAGGGTTTCATTTGGGTCAGTATTTCTGATAGATCTTCTAGAGAAACTGGGTGAAAGGTTGGGGAAACCTGCAATCAGCTGAGACAGAAGTCACTTGGATGAGTGAGGAAACATTTATGCACTGAAAACGTCCAGATGAACAGAATCAACCTTTGGAGATGAACTTAAACTGGATGATTGAGCATGCACCAAGACACTTAAACTGCAGCCAAAGCAATTTCACACCCACTCTGTTCTTCTAAAGCCTCAATCTGTTTCGTTCTATAGCTGACTCTTCTTGGAAGCAGTATCATAGTCGTAATAACAAATGTATATAATACAGATGGTAATGTAGTTGATGCAAC